TCGATGTAGCAGCGTTTAAAACTATATGGTGTCCGAAGAATTAAGACGAATTTTCACGGCCTGTTTTTTTAATATTAAAAAACCTAAGTTTATAAACAGAGATAGTGATCAATTAAAAGTTAGAAGTACAATTAAAAGTTAGAAGTTTGGTGGTATTAAACCTTTGGCTATAGTCAACAAATCAAATTCTAGCAATAGTGTTTGTAAAACCAAGACGCGCGAGTACCACAGCCAACACAATTGTTTCTGCCCTTACCAAACTAGGAAAGTTTTATTTCGTGAAAAAAACAACAACTAATAAGTGAAACTGGCATTGTTGTCATTGTACGTTGAAGTGTTACTATTTTATCATTATTAAACCTTACTTATTGGGTACTTAAAGGGATAATAACTCTTCGTATGAGATCTATATTTCAGGATAAAAACAATGTAAACAACTCAAAGAAATATAATATATTCTGTTTTACCACAAAAACGGTAGTTATAGCTATTATTATGATATCTGAGATTGTTTTAGACCACATGACCTCCACTGATGGCTATACTTTGTTATAACCTCTTAAAATTTTTTTTTTTTTGGTTATAACCTCTTAAGAGATTATAACCAAAAAAAAAACTTTTAGAAAAGGAACAAGGACTAACTTTGAATGTAAAAATGGATTCATTAACCATTGGTAAGTAGGAGAAAATTGTTGTTTACTCCAGGAAAATTCATTTTTCGCCAAAAACGAAGAGTTCTTATCCCTTGAAGTCGTGGCTGGATTTGTAAATTTGAGCATTTGTACACGCAAATCTGGGGTTCGAGTTAGGAAAGGCCTAATCTGTTTATGAGCCCTGTCCTTGATACACGTATAGGAATGGCTGGAAAAGTGTTCTAGATATCAGGTATTTTGCTCTGTATGATTGACCAGTTAAAAAAATATACTTGTCAGTATTGAAGCATCCTCACAATTAAAAAAGGCAGAGAGCAGGCAATGGTGTTATTCCATAAACAGACCAATCAAAACGTGCACATTTGAATTGAATTTAAAAAGAAATGCTGTCATTGTCTTGTTAACGTGCAACGCATGCTGTTGCATTTAATGATTAAAATAGGTGCAATGTCTACTTACTGTTAGAAGCCCCGCCTGGGGAAAACATCAATCTTAAATCAAATTTAAAAGAAAAAAAACTCCTGATTGACTGAAGCTGCTACTTTTTTCACGTGTAAGAGAGACCAGGGGCGCACTGAGCAAAATGAATAACAAGGCGGTACCTGAGATATATCCCTAAGCCGGTTGCATGGTATATATATGAATAATATATGTGTAGAGAGAGAGAGAGAGAGAGAGAGAGAGAGAGAGAGAGAGAGACAAACGCAGCGGATTCTAGGATCTGTCAGAAAGACAGACAGAGTGTTCAACATGAACTTTCCATTATTTAGTTTAGTTATTTTCTTTATAACCTGGAACCAGTATGTTTTACGACCTAACTTGATGAATAAAAGAGCAAATGGTATTTCACTGGTAATTTTGGGTGAAGATAGGAAACCTTTACCTGATACAGATTCTCACAAAAATATGTCAGAAACTGATGGAGAGAAACTTATCTCAAGCAAAAGCGAGAAGTCAAACGTGAAAAAACGTTTTCGGAGGAACAACGCAGAAAGCAAGAAGGGATTTCAGGGAATAAATGAAACCTTCACTTTGACTGGAACCCTTTCCTGGCACAACAGCAATTCATCATCAGAATCTTTCAATGGGATAGGGGTTGAGAATCGTTCAGGTATTTCATCGCCATTGTATCCAGTCGATTTACCAACAACATTAAGCCCGCTGGCCGAATTGCTGCTCACTTACCCCGTTAATCGACCATTTTGCGTCCTTAGGGAGGGCAGAACAAATAAAAGGGATGTCTCCATTGACGTTGTACAGGTAACGTGCTACTGTGACGACATTTGTTCTATTTTTGATGATTGTTGCTGGCCACTCGATCGTTACTGCAGAGACATAAAGAAAACAGTAATTTTTATTGAGCCACATCACGCGGAATGTTGGTTACAGGGGACTCGAGAAATTTTGGACGTTAACAGCAAGTACTACTGGGTCGTTAAGTCGTGTCCGCAGCAATGGGCCGACGCAGCAGTTAGGGCGAAGTGTGAGTTTAGCGGCCCCCCAACCGAAATGGATGTTATTCTACCTGTCTCGTCAAAAGAGCATAATATCACTTTTAAGAACATCTATTGTGCCGCCTGTCATGGCGTTGTGAATTTCCAAGCGTGGACGCCGAAAATAGTCTGCGAAAATACCCAATTTGAAACGTTTGTGAATGCAACAACTTCATCGGGAGTTCTGGAAAAGGTATTCTCGTTGCCCGATTGTATGGTGCTATTTGAACCCCCGGAGCGTTATCCAGGGCGTCCTTGCATCGGTCCTGAGGAGAGTCATGACCCCGTGAGAGGCCTAGAAGACGACCGATGCAATTTTTATGCTGACAAAGACCTAGTCACACTTTGCCAGACGAAGCCTGTGTCCATTACCTATTACCACTCTGTTTTCGGATACGGCTTTGGACGAAACGTTTTTTGTTGGCTGTGTCGAGTGCCCAATGTGATAGGGGTAGAAATTCAAGAATGTGATGGAAACGGTATGTCGTAAAAGATATAGGCTTTGCCTTAATTTTAAACTAGGGGTGGGGGCTAAATCCATGTTTTTGGAATTTTGATCTGTCTATAATTATAGAAATGCTCCTAAAATTGCTTGATCCGTTTTTTTTTTGTTTTTTTTATCTGTGTATATTCAGTCTACTTATTAAAGGAAAAAGGGGCTTAATTCGCGTTTTTGATATTTTTTTCTGTGTTTATTATAAGAAAAAGTACGAAAGTTGGCCTTTATACGTTCATCTTAAAGTCAGGCCAGGTTCTTTCTACATTTATCCTACTTATGCTAAATTCATAAAACATAAGTTCACATATTGCATCGTTTCATTGTTTGGAAATCCGTAGAAGAATCATATCTGACTCTCTGCGGTTATCTAAGGACTCGTTCATATTGAAACTGTCGGTCTACATAGATCGATCCAACTGCGCAGGAATTTTCGATGAATGCAATCAGTTTAAAAGATTACACGCCTCCTCCAGAGTATTATACAGAAAAATTGGTGATTTTACTAGTACGTCGGAAGCAAAAGGAGGAGAGTAAATGTTTTAATCTGGTTGCATTCAGAGAGAGTCCCTGCAAAGTTGCATCGATATCCGTAGACCGATAGTTTCACCGGAAAAGAGCACTAACAGTATATTCTTCTTTCAGAGACAATTGATCTCAAGACATTAGATTCACTTGGTTTCTCCGCTGTCATAGACTTCCAGAAAGAAATGCCATGCCAGGAAAATAAGCACAACGTAAGCATGGAGCGTTTGGAATGAAAGTATAATATACTTAAGTTGTTAAAAAGGATAACAACTCTTTATTTGGCGGGGAAAGGAAAATGCCTTAAAAACTATTTTTCTGGGGTAACCGACCATTTTCCCATACTTTCCCATTTTAATGAATTACTTTCGGCATTCAAAGTTAGTCAATTACATTTTTTTTTTCTTTAAAGTGTGATTTTTTAGAAACAAAATAATCTATTAAGAAAGGTAACCATGCATACAGGTCCAAGTGGTCCGACGGCAAGCACAGATTTCAGAATACATACCTAGGGATGTTATATGACCGTGGCGATATGCTGATCACTGAAGCCTGTCCATTTAGCCAAGCTTCAGTGAAGATCGAGGGCAACCTCGAGCCGCTACTCAAAAATATCTCGCTTCACTCGACATTTCTACGTAGCGTCTCTCGGAAAACTCGGATTTAACCTCGATGTAGTCTAGAATTTCACGACTACATCTTGGTTAAATCAGTCGAGGTTTCTTAAAGCAATAATAACTCTTCCTTTGAGATTCAAAATTCCACAAGAAATGCATTCTAAACAACACATGGAAATATATCATATTGCATTTCACCACTTAAACGGCTGTTATTGTAGTAAAACTAAAAATTGTGCTTGTCAATAGGGCTTTCGGTGCCTTTTTTCCCGGTCGTCAAGGCATCCGTTGCCAAGGATGTTGGCGCATCACGCGGATTCTCGCGTGCATTCGAGACCAAAATAACATGTGGCGGGATAAGATATAGCAGGCGCATGACACAATCCTCAGACGTAATTTGCGAGTTTTTGTACAGTGTGTCGGATAACGAAAAGTCCAGAACTGCACACGTTGTAGATATAAATGCATTCTGAGCAATAAGACGATTATATCGTATGAATCTTATTTTATTGTAATAAAGTGTTGTTGTTGTTGTCTGCTCTTCCCGCGGTTTTAAGTAGGTCATCAGAAAACTCAGCTCGATATCGCGTGAATTATGCAATGTCAGAGAGGGCTCAGTCAGTTAAAATCTCTTAAGAGATTTTAACAAAAAAACAAGCGTTTAGGAAAAAAAAAACCCTGGACTAACTTTGAATGCAGGAATGGGGTCGTTGACCATTGGTAAGTACGGGAAAATTGCCGTTTTCGCCAGGAAAATCCAATGTTTGGCCAAAACGAAGGGTTATTATGACTTTAAATTCTGTAAGCCAAAGACAGAGTGATCATGTGACCTTTTTGGCATCAAGAGAAAAGTGACGTTGCTTGCTTTATATACCTACCAGTAAACAAATTAAAAATCTCTCACACTCTTGAAAAATTAGCATAAACTTTTCACGTTTAGCAATTATTATCTATAATTTTATAACACTAAGTCATATCATATGGTTATGGTTTGAAAACGGGAATAAGTTAACATTTAAGCCACACGTGCATACAAATTATTTGTAAGTCTACAACTTTTTAACGAGGGTTGTGTTATTTACCTTTTGCTTTTAAGCTGTTCATTCTTCCTTTTTATCAGATATATCGGTAATAATCAAATCTATTCCCCCTTTGAACTTGTTATTACATGTAGCACATAAATGCCATGAAAACCAGCACATGTATATTCCGAAACCGCCTCGTAGTAAAAAAACGTAGAATTATTACTCCTGTGGACTTGAAACAAACATCCGCTTGTTTTTGACTATATTCCGTAACCGTCTCGTCGTCAGAAATAACAATAAAAACTAGAATTATTACTCCCGTGAACTTGTAATAAACATCCGTCTAACTTTGACTATATTCCGAAACTGCCTCGTTGTCATAAATATCACCAAAAAGTACATTTCTTTCTCCTTTGCACTTGTGAACAATTAGTTTGACGCTCCTTGTTTATCAGAAAACTCACTAAAAAGTAGAGGTTTTGCCGTGGGACCTTTTTCCGCAACAGTCCCAGCTAGGTGTGGCTCAGCTGAGACGCGCATGGTCAGTGTCGACGGTTGATTAAATACTTTTTAAGCCAGTTGGACGTCCATGACAAGTATTTAGCAAAATTGACCAAACTGGACAGACATTACGTAAGAATTTGGCGGGAGGTGACCAGCGCACGTGGACGAGTTTATTCCGTATAACATCTCTAGAGCGTGATATAGGGTCACTTTATTCGGTTTTAGGGGTGTTTTAGAATGAAGTGACTGTATTTTTCTCGGTATGTATGTCAAATAATACACTGTCACCCTCTCGCGATATATGCCATGAATACCTCTCGCTGACGCTCGAGGTTTTATGGCATATATCGCGAGGGGGTGACAGTGTAATATCTCACACATAACTGCGATAACCGTTTTGGTGGTTAAAAGGAATTTGCTACAATTTTATATGTTGTCTACAATGTTTTTTTTTAAATTAAAGGTAATAGATTGAGCGCTATACCTTTAAGCAACAAATAATGAATTTTCATGGAAAATTCGATACAGAATAACAGTCATTAATGGAGAGGGGAACAGGCATTCGTTTACCGCATAACGCATAACGCATAACGATATAACAAATTCCATTTTATCATTGTATTAGGGATACCATTGTGGTGAAGTAAAAAAAAAGCTTAAACTGCCTAGATTTTTTATCAACATTTCTATCACACAATGTAGGCCTATGCCTTTAAATTTATGCCGTTGGATCACAAACGTCCTTTGGATGCAGATGAGGCCCATGGCTTCAGTGGGTCAGGCGGGTCCTCCGTACTGTGAGGGACCCACTGATTCCCCTTTAGGATGTCTCGTGGGAGTTGATAAGACCTGAAGTTTATAATAAATAGGCAATATTTTAATGTAGAGAAGGGTATAAATAGGATTGTTGGTGGGTAGATTAAGGGAGGAAATAGGCAGTGGGAATAAAGCTGTTTGGAAATCTTGGTGTTTATTTCTTCCTGATCGGTGAATAGAAAATAGAATCTTAAAGGGGGTCAGATAAACCCTTCGCACTGGCAGTATAATGCCTGTAGATAAACCCATCGTACTAGCTGGATCGATCCAACTGTGTGGGGATTATCGCTTTAGTGCAGTTAATCAGCTTAATTGTCTGACACGGGCACTCTACCAGCAAGGGGCTAATTAACTATCGGCATCGGCGCCCGGAAATTCTTATACTCGTTGAGGCATGTCAGATAATTAAGCTGATTACAATGAATGTACAATGTGAAAATCCAGCTAGTACGAGGGGTTTATCTGAGCCCGGTCTTAGTAAGTCGCAGGCATCCTTCTGCATGATTTTAGCATGGGTTTATTAAGTCGCCAAACAAATGGATTTAATCAACAATTTTTGGACAATTAATGCTTTAAATATTTTCATAGATTAATGTCATAAATGACTAAAACAAATAAAAAATAATAATTTTACCGCTTCCTGACAAAAACCTAGATTATATTTGGCATGGGCGCTGTACGATGAGATCGCATACGGTTTTCCGTGAGATGCTTTTGACAGCGTAAATAGCTACGGGCTCCTTTAAATTTGATTTGTTTTCGCTTTTCTGATGGCCATCAATAAAAAAAGTCTTTCAAAGATCAGAACGGGAAAAAATGCATTTTTATATTGTTTGTTTTTTTGAATTGCTGACGATATTTCTTTGATTCATATTTTTTACTTTTGTCTTTAGAAATCGTGCCAACAGCATTCATGTCAAGAGAATGACCCGGGATGTTTGTTACCCTTGACCGGCTTTGTCAACATGCAGTTCATTCTTACCCTGAAACTTACCCCAAAACAAAGCTGGCAAGACTTGGTTGTCTTGTATGAAGCATGCATCTCGATCAGTTTATTCACGACCCAGTCCTCGCTTTACATCGACCCCTTACACGAAGGGATGTATAGTGATGCCTTAAAACAAGGATGCGGCACCCCGTCGTTCCATGGAGAATACACCCTTGTTCGTGTACCAGTTAAACTGGCGAAACCTGTCCCCCGCATCCCTGACGGCCTGCGTTGGTTCGAACGATTTGAAGATCGAGTCGCGGCTTATATTCAAGACATTGGCAGCCAGCTGTCCATTGGCAACATACTTTTTGATGCAAGCGTCGTGTTTAATCGCACATTGGGGAACGTCTCCGACGCAGCATTGGCGGCTACTTATACTTCTGGAAAAGGCAGAAGTAGCAGGGGATGCGCCCGTCAAGTGCCTTGGGTACTTAATTTGCTTGTGGCATTGGCATGTTTGTTTTTTAAACTTTTTCTCTAACTATACGCGCTAAGAGAAGCAGGGATCAGACGTAATTTGTACTGGTGTTTTTATTGCAAAGAAAATGACAAAGAAAAAAAAATTCACCTAATTCATTAGCAACAAACGCATCTGTCTTTACTCTCTCACAGAACTTGTAGGTCTCACAACATAACAGGACCAGCACATTAAACGCCTTAGCCAGGGGTGAGATCTTGGAAGTCCCCACTCTGGCCATGACGTAACCTTTGGCTAACAAAGCGTGAGCACCTAAGAAGACTTTCGTAGCCTGGAATTAATTTAATAAATCATAGTGTTATTTTGTCTATTACATAAAATAAAATATGTACTTCAAAGTGAATTGTCAAGTCAGACAAAACACAGTGCTATATGAAATATGATCATTTTCTTTGAGGAGACTGTGTGAACCGTGTTGGTTGAGACAAAACATTGTATATTGTGTCAGGTGAGGCATTTAAATGTACAACCATGATCATTTCTCAACAAAGGCATAATACATTTTACTGAAACAGATAAAATAATTTCTGTATTGTCCCAAAATGTCGTGAGCAGTGTTTGATGAGCCAGTGTACATAGCACAGGCTAAGACAAAGTTCACTTGCCTCTACCAAGAACAGAACACTGTGTTAAAGGAGACATTGTGCATTGTGTTAGTTGAGGTATTGTTTTGGTTTACATTTTGTGTTGGTTGACTAATTGTGCATTGTATAAGATGAGATATTGTGTTGGTTGACCCAATGTGCATTGCTGAAGCTAACATGTTGTGCATATTACTGATTGAAACACTGTATATTTTTTGTTTAAAACAAGGTTTTTCCAAGAGAGCTTTCCAGTTGACATTTAGACAGCCATCTGCCACAGCCTATCTTTTCAAAGTTGGCTGGACAGGTTACAGAATTTCGGGGTTGATTGGTAAGGCAAGCTTAGATTGGCCTCCCTACAAATCATTGAGAAAATTACAGAATGATCCACATTTTGGACTCCCCGTACCCCAAATCCTGGAAACACCCCTCTCACTGGCCTCTTGCATAATGTAAGAAGCTGTATTGACGAGAACGTAGGAACACGTAGGAACAAAGCGACGGAGCACCTCTCGCACTTCTAACTTTGGACGACCATCAACGACGATAACACGAAACTGTCTTCCTTTGCAGTGTGCATCGCAGAGTATCTTCCGGATCAAAGAAGAGCTTAAAAGAGAAGCAAATGTTTAGCATACATCTTTCAACTGAATATGCTTCACTATTTGGAAAATAATTAAAACTGTCACCATAAGTATAACTGTCCCAACTTAGAAAAGTTTGTTCAAAAAGTGAAAAAAAATAAAAAATAAAATAACCTAAATAACCTAAAAAAAGTGTTCAACAGTCACCAACCAAATACTAGAAGGACATTCCCATCTTGGATTTTCTGCAGAGCAGTAAGAGAGATGGCTTCTCCAGCTAGAAGTATCTTCTCTTGCAAGAAATCGTCAATTAATTCCTTCACATTTCTTTTGGGAAAAAATCCAAATCTTTAATTTTCCTCACATTTGCAGAGATGAATTGCCCAAGCTTAAAGACTCAAAGACAAATATGCCAAACGGTTTTATAGACCTATAAGAGACATCAACTTATTTAAAAGTCATATTTGTCAAAATCAAGTTTTAATGTAACAGGCATAAATATCCAGTCTTATTGAAATTCTTATCTGGACCAGTGAATCCAGATTTGGGCCAGCAGATTATATGACTTCTGGTACTCTGAATGGCCAGTAAGCTAGAAGTTTTTAACCTGGCAGCCATGCAAACATATAAAACTTTTATATAACCACCATCAGACATGAATTTGGGTTGTTTGGAAATAAATTATAGGTAGAAATGGCTTGGTGGTCTTAAGACCCTGGATGCGGGGTTGCTTTAGCTAAAACTGTTTAGATAAAAAAAGAAAGAAAAAAAAAAAAACTCACCTCCGGGTCTGGCATCTCACTTGGCGTATGGTTGATGTGCCACTTGAGTGCTTTGATAGCATTCCCCATACTGACTGAAATTGGCCGACACTGGGCCAAGAAACTGAAGAAAAGAATAAGAAACTTTTTTTAATGTTGCACTATTCCATAGGATTATATTAATTTTATTTTTCCATTTGATAGCTTTAAAGCCCTTCCACTACTATGTTGCTGTAATAGGCTAGTACTGCATAAGACACTAAAAAAATAAACTGAATTTTTTTATTTTTCTGTCCACTTGCGAGCTTTGAGAGCATTTCCCTAAGAGACTGAAACTGGCCAACCTGGGCTAGAAATATATTAAATATGATAGTTATTTTATCATATAAGAGATTACCTGCACGAAAACGCAGTAAATGCTCCAGCGCAGTAGACTAAAGCAATCATATTGCTAAATATTTGAAGCTGGAGGATACACAAAGTGAAAGAGAAACAAAAAATTGCCAATCTAAGAAAAGTGTTTATTTATTAATTTTTTTTTCCTCATGCCCCTGAAATGAGTATTTTTTTATACAAAAGGTACAAGTGAAAAATTAAACATAAATTTGTATTGTGATTGACAATTAATATGAAATTTGGGGAGATTCTAATAAAAACCTTTCAGACTTCATTATTAATCTCAGTAGCGGGAATACTCCACCGCCAGCTTGGATTATGGCCGCCAGATGGCGTGGCATACTGTGAACTAGCGTTAGCATGCTGGTTTGCAAAACCAAGTTCGTCCCACTTGTGCTGAATCGGGTATGCATCTGGGCTGCCCCGCACGAAAACGCAGTAGATGCTCCAGCGCAGTAGACTACTGCAATCATACTGCAAATATGCCTCAAATCTACTACGCATTGGGAGCTAATTAGCATATTTGAAACATGCTTCTATCATGCTGCTAATCTACTGCATTGATGCTCCTCCTCTGTACAACCCTTTGCAATTTTTGAAGTAGAATTGCAGTAGGGTATACTGTATTTCTACTGCAAATATGCCCTTCACCACTACTGCGTTAATGCTTCTTTGCTAATTCGATACTACTGCATTTTCGTGCGGGGCTTGCTGTCTGTGACTTCAGCTGAATGTTGTTTTGGCGGATATAGTCGTTAATTTAGCGGGCTGCATGGGGACTTGCGTTATCATGTTGCAATCTAAAATCGTCTCTGTATAGCCCTCTTGCGAATGGCTCCAAGTTCTGTTAGAGAATGTCCCTGTATCTGGCAGCGTTAGGGTTTTCATCCAGAGGAGCAATGGGCAAATGCCGTTGCTGCAAATGGCACCACAGACATGTTTCTTGGGTATTTGCAGTCAACAGCCATTCTCCAACGAGTATGCGGACTCTCATTCTTCCATCTGTTTGATACAATAGAAAACGGGACTCATCAGCAAACATCATGTGATTCCCATGTTGGACCGTACCGACATTCTCCTTGAAGGATAGGGGTGTTCCAACAGCCTGCGGTTTACCGTCTGGCAAGACAATCGAGCCAAACGTTGGGCCTGTAGTTCCAAGGCAATGGCTTTGACAGTTTTGGCCCGCTCTCTTCTAGCCAGGTTGATGATGACACGATTACTTTTGGTGTTTCCACTTCGCGGTCTACCTTTAGATTTAACAGGTGTCACATTTCCTGTCACAAACCTTCTCCTCAAGATTCTATTCACAGTTTTCCTGTCCACACCCAAACGTCTGGCTATCTTGATTTGTTCCTCGCCCATATCTGCATATGCAACCATCTAGTGTCATATTACCATATCTGTAGGTCGCAGCATGGTCTCAATAATCGGTAGACACAGTTACTAATATGCAAATCTCCTCGAAAACTGACAGAACATGTCAAACGCACCCCACCCCACCAGCACTGTCCCAAAACTCTGTGACATGTTTCACACACCCCAGATATTCCAGTCATAAAATCTATACCTGCATGTACCCGAGAAACTTACAGACCTCCGTTCCTGGGAAAGCATGCCCTGTGGAGGTGCGTTCCCTAGGATGTAGTGGCCTACCCGGACCTGCCAGTAGCCTAAAGTTATTTGTCAACAAGTTGGAATAAATCATTTCCTTATATGATCCAATATATCAAAAACGGGAATGTTTGTTGATAAATTGTTATGATATATTATGAGTATATAATAAGCAAGACCACCACCTCTGTTCCCCGGTAAATATGTTTTAAAAGATTCTAATTTTGTTGTACATTTTTCAATTTTGTTCCCTGGTTTGTAGACCTTAACGGATATGGACAGAGTTTGTGATTTATCCGACGTCTGTTTTTTACGACATCTAAAAGTTGACTGTTATTATTTAGAAGGGGTGACACACATGTTTTGTTTTTTTGAGCAAAGGATAGAAACTTCAGACAACTAGCAGGCTGAAAAACGTTTTAATCCTCAACCATTAACATCTCTTGATCAACGCTGCACAAATTTCACAAATCACCAGTGCATGAGCATGAAGTTTAAAAAGGTTAAAATTTTTAGTTGGGTTGCAAAAAAGGGGGGACAGTGCAAACAAGGCCGGCTGTATTTTTAATTGAATGTCTTATGAAGGGTCATATTTAACAAACACTATTTTCGACTGCAAAAAGTCTTATTCACCTTAAAGAGAAACTGTTCGACACATTAAACAAACCCATCCTTCTATACGGCTGCAAAATTTGGGGACCTACTCTCATTGCTAAAAACCTTAACTCTATCAAATAAATTCACACATTCCATTTTGAACATGTCCACAACAAATTCTGCAAATCACTCCTGGAAATTCAACAAAACAGCAGTAACATAGCAGCCAAAGCAGAACTTGGCAGAAATCCACTTACACAAAGTGAACTTAAACAAACAGCAGCATTCTTAAACGATTTACAGAAGTACCAGATAGACAACTTTAGAAAAAGGTATATCAAAGTGAAGCCCTTGAAGTAAAAACAAATGACACAGTCTACCAATCTCCCCAAACAGGTGCAGCCTCCAGAAAGATAAAAATGAAATGAGCAAAGCTTTCGGCGACCACTACAAAATGCTATTTTTTAAGAAACTAGACAGAGAAATGGACTACTGAGAATATATAAGCTATACAAATCATCTTATGAAGCGTAAAAATATTTAAATGCTCCCCTAACAAAAAAGGAACTCCAGAACCTCGCAAAATTTAGAACCGGAACCCATGATCTAGAAATACAGAGTGGCAGACTTCGAAAACCCAACTCTCTTCCAGCTTAAAAGAGAATATGTAGACTTTACAGACAAGGAGTAGAGAATGAAATACACTACCTGATGCTATGTCCCCAATATGTAAAAAAAAGAGTGAATCTAAACCAACAATTAGTCCAAAACACAAACCACACTGAACAATTCAAATCGTTAATGCAATACAGAAATCATGACACAATACAAAATCTAGCTAGATACATAACAATAAGTAACCAAGAAAGATCTGGTATTCTCTACAAGCCATCACCACCTAATAAATGAGAGAAATATGTATGATATTTTAAGGTCAGTAATGTATATGAAAATATACAAATGTATCAAATAGTATAATGTTCACCTCTGATAATGGGTGTATAGCATAATTTACATTTCAGCATACACATTAAGCATTAACCTATCTCAATATGGTACTACGTTATTGTTTGGTCATAGCCTTTGTAATAGTGGGCTAGAACAAATAAAGGTTATTATTATTATTATTATTATTATTATTATTATTATTATTATTATTATTATTATCAACAAAATGATTATATATGAATGTTGCAAATATATAAGTAGATGAGGAGAAAATAATCATATAAATGATTTGCATATTTGCTGCTGAAAATATGCTTTGAAAACTGAAAAAAAAAACGAGAATCAGGCATATATCCCTTGAAATACGATTTTTGGGCATATCATTTGGACGAAGTTATAAGGGTCCTCAGGCAAGTATTTTAGCCCAGTAAGGTCAAATTTTGTGAACCGTCACCTTGCTGCACTTGTCTGCTGGTTAGAATGACTGGCATTCTTTTTAAATGGGGGGAACGCAGTTGCAAAGGGTCCACAGACAATTTACTTGCCGGACACCAGATGGGGACATTCCAAAAATGCTGAAATCCCGGGGGTCGCCTTTCAGTACATCATTCCATCTGTCGATTCATCCATTGACAGTGAACATAGAAATACTCGCATATTCCATGTGTGCCACAGCTTCTTTTTTATCGTTTCCTTCTTTCAGAGTTTTGATCAGTGGTATTTAAATGATAATTGATGACTCTCTGCGTCTACGGTTGCAAACGCGATATGCCTATGATGTATTCTATTGTGTCTTAGAATTGAAAAACGGACAAATCTGAAGCAAACAGAGGGGAGTGTTGTTGAATTATAACAAGTGGATGGATCTTTTCTTTGCGCATAATGAAGTTTTGCGCTGCATGCAGGAATCCGATGCTGCTGTTGACGATTTCTTAAGTATCTCTTGCGCCACTTAATAATAGTCTTTAGCTTCACCGATTTGTCATTCGAAATTGTTTGATCATTCGAGATTATTTGATAAAGCATCCCTTTCCATCCTTTCACTGCTGACAAGCAACATGATGCAATTTGCCCACACTGAAAATCCCAAATCACCAATACCCAACTTCACACAACTAGATGAAATAATTAGACAAGGAGAGTGTCGCGTATAAGGATAGAACGGCGCAACCCTTATCAGGTGCACAACAATAACAATTCCTCAAACGCTATGACAGGGGCGGATCCAGGACTATTTGAAAGGGGGGGGAGTCCGAGGATGCGAAGCTGACCCTCGCCCCGTGGCGTGGGGTTTGGGGACCGCTTAAGGGCCCGCAAAACTTTTTAGATAAGAATATAACATTCAATAACGGGTATCCATTACCAGACCCGTTGCCAGGGGGTTCGCGGGGTTAGAAAAAAGGGCATTTTTGGCGGGGAAAAATATTTTCCTGATAAAAATTTATCTAGGTACACGATGTTGCAGTGTTTAAAACTATGTGGTGTCCGAAAGATTAAGACGAATTTTCACGGCCTGTTTTTAATGTTAAAAAAGTAAAACCTAAGCTTATAAACAGAGATAGTGGGAACTAACGATCAATTAAAAGTTTAAAGTGCAAATTGCTTGGTATGGTGGCTATAGTCAACAGATCAAATTCGAGCAATGGCGTTTTAAAACCAAGACGCCCGACTACCTGTTGCTCACAGTCATAACTATTGTTGCTGCCCTAACAAACAGGGAAAAGTTTTCATTTATTTCGTAATTTTTTCAAAAAATATTTAATAAGTGAAACTGGCATTTTTGTCACTGCACGTTGAGGGATTATTATTTTATCATTATTAAACCTTACTTATCGAAGGTGGGATCAAGGTTGATATATTTGTCTTCCCCATGGCTCTTTAGAATGTTATGTGGGCTTTTAGGTCTCATAAACGATAATCACCGTTTTCTGGCAAGAGCCTTAGATTCGGGAGCATAAATGCATGAATTTAAGACTCCGACCATTAATTAAACATCCCAGTATAGAACTACTGGCAACAATCTTAGTTTCATTGCACAAACAATTTGGCCAGCTTCCATCAGGGTCTGTAGCTGTGTTCATAGGCCAACTATAGGTTATTTTTTGTATGGCAGCAGTACGTTTTCGGCAATCTCTAGTTCATACGGAACTCACCAAACGTGCTAATGGCAACTGTTTTTACGTCGGATAGTTAAATTGCTAATAACTCTTCGTATGAAATCTATATGTCACAATAAAAACATTGTAAACAACTCACAAAATGTAATATATTCTATTTTACCACAAAAACGGCAGTTATAGCCATTATTCTAATATCTGAGCTTGTCTTTAGACCACATGACCTCCACCGATGGCTGTACTCTGCTATAATCTCTTAAGAGATTATAAAAAATAAATAAATAAATAAATAAATAAATAAATTTTTAGAAAAAAAACAGGGACTTAATTTGGATGTAAAAATGGATCCATTAACCATTGGTTAGTATGGGAAATTGTTGTTTACTCCAGGAAAGTTCATTTTGGGCTAAAACGAAAGTTCTTATCCCTTTTAACCGTGGCTGGATTTGTTAATTTGAGCATTTGTACTCACAAATCTGAAGCTCGAGTTAGGAAAGGCCTAATCTGTTTATTAGCCCTGTCCTTGATACGCCTATAGGAATGGTAGTGTTCTAGATATCAGAAATTTTGCTCTGTATGATTGACTAGTGAAAAATATACTCGTCAGTATTGAAGCATCTTTACAATTAAAAAGACAGAGAGCAGGCAATGGTAATTCCATAAACAGACCAATCAAAACGTGCACATTTGAAATGAATTTAAAAATCAATGCTGTCATTGTCTTGTTAACATTTAACGCAATGCTGTGGCATTAAATGCTGTGATCTAGGGTTCAACGTCTACTTACTGTTAGAAGCCCTGTCTGGAAAAAACTCCTGATTGACTGAAGCTACTTTTTTCACGTGTTAGAGAGACCAGGGACGCACTGTGCTAAAAGAATTACAAGGCGGTACCTGAGATATGTCCTTGAGATGGCTGTATGGTATATATATATGTGTGTGTGTGTGTGTGTGTGTTTGTGTGTGTGTGTAGAGAGTGAGAGAGAGCCAAACGCAGCTCATTCTGGGATCTGTCAGAAGGGCAGACAAAATGCTCAACATGAACTTCCCAATAGTTACTTTAGTTATTTTCTTTATTACCTGGAACCAGTATGTTTTCCGACCTAAC